AACTTCTGGTTGAGCAGGAGAACTACTTTCCAGATATTAGACCCTTATAAGAATAAAAATAGCAGCTTGGATGAGTTTTTTAATAATAAAATCCCTAGTGAATGTTCAGTTCAGTTTTTGTAAATAGTTCATTAGAATTAGAAACCTATTTTTTTAAGATTTTTTTTCTTTATTTTAGAAAGAAAGAGAGAAGGAGAGAGAGGGTGACTGTGGGGGGCGGGGGCAGGCAGAGGGAGAGAGGGAGAGAAGTCTTAAGTAGATTCTGAGCTGAGTGTGGAGTCCCAACTTGGGGCTCAATTCCAGGACTCCGAGATCATGACCTGAGTCAAAACCAAGTCAAACGCTTAACCGACTGTACCACCCATGTGCCCCAGAAACCTATTTCTTCTTAAGAACAAAGTATGTTCATGTGTTTGTCTTTGTGGGCATTTGCAATAGGGTGGGATGTCTTACTCATGGCACTTTGTGGCTCAGAGCCCAAAAACTTTACAATCCAGTGGCCAGAACAATCTGATTTTTTTTCTATCAGTCAGTGCAAAGGTATACTAAAGAAAAATTCAATAAAAATAATCCATTAAACAACCAAAAATGTGGTTATTTGGAATAGATCTAGTATGGTTATAATTGAGCATATTTCATATTTTTCTTTCTTAGAATTAGCTTAAACTTTACAAAAATACTTCTATAAATTTTTATGTTTAGTCTGTGGTCCATTTCAAATCAGTTGTTAAAAAAATGATAGCAGTCTTTTTACACAGTGAACAGTATGAAGCTTAAAAATAATACAAAGTTTTCAGTTGTAAAAATATTTAGCAAGCATTGGTGAAAGATACACTTATAGCATACATATCCATGGAAATTATCAGTGCATTCACAGTGAATTTATTAGAATAAGGTCTTTCTACTCTATCAGATCTAGCAGATTTAAGAGGGATCTAGAATTGTTACATTTTCTATAGTGAGAAATTAGTGAAATGCCTACTCTGATATGTAAAATAGAAAAGATAAACCAGAGAAGGATATTTGTGACTGATATGTACCTGGAAATATTGAACTACAAAGATAATATTAAACTTGAACTTTGAAAAAAATCTTCCTTTAGAGGAGAGGGAAAGAGAAGTAGATTCCCAAAAAACATGAATGACAACATGCATATGTGATATAATATACACAGAATATTATTTTTTATGTGCTTACAGTGAACTGGATAACATTAAATAAAGGAGGGCACAATAATAACTACATGGAGTGGTCTGAAAAGTGTAATTAAAACTTGGTACAATTAGAGGGAAAAAGGAAGACAAGGAGAAAAGTAGAAATTGAGGTATTATTGGAATTTTTCGGCAGACACAGCTTAGATCACAATTTTCACATTTTTATCCATTTTTTAGTAATCACCTTGTAAAGTGCTTTAATAAGAAAACAGCAGATTCAAAGACTTGAAATAATGCCATAGATCTTACAATGGCAGGACCAAAATTTGTATTTCCTTTGATAGTAAATATCCTTAATTTCCACCACTCTTCATTGACTTGAAGACCAAGTTTAAGTGTTTTTGGCTTAAGATAATAGACACTGTCTTTGTGTTTAAATACATCTGAAAAAAGAAAATGATATTACAGATGGCATTTGCTGAAAGTCAGGAGAGTCAATAGGGTTGAATCTTTGAATTAAAAAAAAAATGGAACAAGTACTATAAAGAGTGCAAGTTGATATGGAGTCCACAGGAAGAGAATCTGAGAAAGGCTGCTAAGAAGCCTGCATCGTTAGCTACAGAGGTTTCTGCCAGAGGAAAGAGGGCATCGACTTGCATTCATCTTTTTTTCCCCCCTTTCCATCCAGTCAGACTCCATTAAACAATGAATGAAAGTTATCAAAGTGTATTTACAATGTACCACACCATGGACTGGTGATTTCAACCTGGCAATTTTCTGATAAAGGAATGATAGGGACAGGAATGGGCCGATGCTCTGCAAGCCGATTTAGAAAGCAGTGCTGATTTTGATCTCTGGGGAGATAAGCAGTTCTGCCTTGCAGGCTAAGGTGAGCTGCATTAGAAGATTAAATAAGGGACAGATTTTAAAAGACTGTTTGATCCATTTCCTGCAACTGGAATGAGTACCTCTTTTTTTTTTTTTTGTAGGATTTTATTTATTTGAGATAGAGTGAGAATGCGAGCAAGAGAAAGAAAGAGAGGGAAAGAAAACAGGAGCGGGGGAGGGAGAGGGCAGAGGCAGAGGGAGAAGCGGACTTTCCACTGAGCAGGGAGCCCAATTTGGGGCTTGATCCCAGGGCGCGGGGATCATGACCTCAGCCGAAGGCAGACGCTTAACTGACTGAGCCACCCAGGAGCCCCTGAATGAGTACCCCTGAATAAGTTACATAGTTTATTTTTCAAATTTCAATTATTTAAAACATATGACATATAGTAATGGAAGTAACTCAGAGTAACAATCTTAATCTGAAGGATTCAAAAATTAGATGAATGCAAACATGAAAGCATCTTGGAAGAAGTGCAGACTACAGGGGCACCTGGGTGGTGCAGTCATTAAGCATGATCCCAGGGTCCTGGGATCCAGCCCTGCACCTGGCTCCCTGCTCAGCAGGAAGCCTGTTTCTCCCTCTCCCACTTCCCCTGCTTGTGTTCCCTCTCTAGCTGTCTCTCTCTCTGTCAAATAAATAAAATCTTAAAAAAAAAAAAAAGAAGTGCAGACTATATCAAAAAATAAATTCATGGAAAAACAGTGAAAGAAAATTTGAACTCATTAATTGTGGAGATTATTTTGAGTATATTCTCACTACCATTTACACAATTGAAATAATTATCATCTTGAAAATAACTATTGTATGTTAATTAAATATATGTGCACGCATATGCACACAAACCATTTTGCTTTTGTTTTTCACAACCACCATCAAATTAACTGAGGCCATGTAGGGTGGTAAAATCCCCATTGTTCTTAATGCCATGATATATACTGGGATGTATTTCAGATCCTTTATGTAGTCAAACCATCCATCACCCTCACTTTTTGCAAATATGTTGTAACTTCCCACTTTATAAAGACCATAGTTCTCAATAGGCAAGAACTGCTCCCCTCTCCCACCTTCCCCACACCAGCTGGATCATTGCAAACTTACCAGCAACCATTTACTTTGCACTTCTATTTGATTTTCTCAAGAAAAGAGCCATATCATCATGGGTTGTTTCTTTCTACCTGTGATCAAGATCCTATACAGTGTCATCTTTACCCCAGTCCATCTTTTTAAATCAATTATCCCCTCTTTAGTATGCTCAGTTTCTTGTCTCTATTGACTTTTACTCATCTGCATAGAGACACACATTTAGTCTCTCACCTTACAACCAAAATCCTCATTTTATCATATTCTCATTTATTTGTTTATTTTTTTTTAAGTTTTTCTTCAAAGATTGCATTTATTTATTTGAGAGAGAGAGTGTGTGAGAGAGAGAGTGCATGAGCAAGAGGAGGGGCAAAGAGAGAGGGACAAGCAGACTCCCCACTGAGCAGGGAGCCCAAGCAGGGCTCAATCCCAGGACCCTGAGGTGACCTGAGCTGAAGTCAGATGCTTAACTTACTGAGCCATCCAGGTGCCCCTCTCATTTCTCATTACAATCTCAGGAAAGAAAGATTAAAATGATAAAGTATTTTAGGTGAAGACATCAATATTTTACATAGACTAGTGATGACTACTGTTCTGTAATATTTAAACACTCTAAAATCTACTTTGCAGATCCCTTTTGTAGCATCTAAAAAACAAATTAATCCTCAATTTTAATATAAAATTATTTTTATTATAAGAATTAATAAAATTTTATAGAGTTCAAATAGAAAAATATATACAAAACACACAAGTAAATAATTATGTAGATAGCTAGATGATAGATGGATAGATAGATGGATGGATGGATGGATAGAGAAATGGATAGATAGATAAACAGACAGATGATGGATTCACTTCAGTATCTACAGTAGCACATCAGGATAAAATTTCTCAGCCTGTGTTCTGAATACATTCTACAGTAGAATCATTGAGAGTATTTATTAAAAAGTCCAATTCTTCAGCTCCACTTCAGTCTTTCTGAAAAAAATATATGAAGGTAAAGCCCATAGATCTGAATGTTACTAGATTTCCAAGCTGAAATCATTCAACATTCAAGACACACCGCATTAGGACTTATGTTGAAATCCTTCTTTGTTAATTTTCTATGTTCTACTACATTTTTACAAGGACATAAACATATTGTACTCTAAAATCAAAAAGGTGATAGATAGATTTAGTCCACTGATAAATTCTTAGCAAGAAAAGAGTCAGGAGGACGTTAATGGTTCCACTAAAGCTGTCTTGATGAATCCATGACTGTCAAACAAAACCCTGTCTCCCAGTGAGTGTTAGCTAACATGATGAAGATTTTTACATTGGTTAGAAAAGTCTCTTAATGTTACTTAGATTAGTAAAACATAGGGGAGTGGCATTAATAGAAATGACAATCATGATAAAGCTGTTATCTGAAAACAAAGACGGCAAGCACATTCACAGTATATTCTACATTAGATCTTCCCACCATTAAAAAAAAATGTATTTTCTAAGAGGGGCTCCAAAGAGACAGACATAGCCATAATTAAAATGTAACTACATCAGGGCGCCTGGGTGGCTCAGTCGGTTAAGTGACTGCCTTCGGCTCAGGTTATGATCCTGGAGTTCCGGGATCGAGTCCCGCATCGGGCTCCCTGCTCAGCGGGGAGTCTGCTTCTCCCTCTGATCTTCTTCCCTCTCATGTTCTCTCTCTACCATTCTCGCTCTCAATAAATAAATTAAAAAAAAATCTTTAAAAAAAATAAAATAAAATGTAACTACATCTTAAAGAGGAAATATTTATCATTTTAATGACCTGACAATATAGACTATTGACACCAACATGGATCATTCATGGAAAAACGACGGAATTGCTTAAATCAGAGAAAGTATGTTCTTTTTACCTTCTTTAAAGAAAGTATCCCTTCTCTGGTCTCCTTGTCCGTGGAGATGGAGAATATCCCAATACCATCACCATTAATGATAGAGTATGTCATGTCAGCATTTGAACCAGTGTCTGCATCATTTGCTTTGATTTTCCCAACAGCTGAACCAACTTGAGCTGACTCAGGAACATACAGTTGATAGTGCTCTGAAAAATATTTCATATTAAAATCATTTGATGGTAATATCGTTCACAAAAAAAGTTTTACAAGAAAAAGACATGAAAATGTTTAGACCACACACTCAAACATTGTATTAAGTCATATAGAAAATATTAAAATGGATTTTAAATATTAGTAAATTGCTTAGTAGTGAAATACTAGGTTTACATAAACTTTAAAATATATGTAAAATAACCTATATAAAAATAATTTGTAGGTATCTTAATGTAAAGTATTTTATTACCTCTACATCCCTAGGGAACAGAAAAAAAGGTAAGGAGATCAAATGTGTATTCTTATGTTGAGCAAAAACTAAATTAGTCAAGTATTTCTTGCATTTCTCCTTCCATACAGCATGTGAAATTGCATTTCTCCTTCCATAAGCATGTGAAATTAAAATATTTCTCCTTCCATAAGCATGTGAAATTAAAATATAAGAGTTTGAAAAACTGAAATTCAAAACTTGAAATTCAAAGTGAAAACAAAAAAAAGAATATAGCATACCTATAAATATGATTATTATTCTGATCAATAAACTTAAGTTTAGTGAAATATATAAGCCATGACAAAGAGAGAGAGTAAATTTGTTTATGCATTTAATTGCCATGTATTCCAGGTCAGCTTCTGGAAAGAATTTAAAGTGGTTTTGTAATAAAGTCATAAATAAAATAAAATTATTAAAATTAATAAAATGATGACTAAGTTAAAGAATGAGAAAAATAAATATAACTACATGGGATGATGTAGTTTTTGTGATTGACCTAATTTTTACACTATATATATTAAAACACTATTGATTATATAAACCTCATGATCTGATATGCAAAAATATATTTTTCAGTATGTCCTGATATTAAATGTTTACACTGAACAATTTAAAAATTTTCAAAGTTTGTCCTGATACTAAATTTCTTCAGAGAGAGCTCATAGAACTTTCCTTATAGAAACTTATGAAAGAGATATTAAGAAGCATGAATGGCCATGTTGTCACCAACTGTTTTATTGACAAATTAGAAACATATCTAATAAAACAACTTATTTGTTATAGCAAATCTCAAAGAACAATGTAAATAACAGGAACTGTGAATTAAAATATAATTGTATAAGAGTTTCAACCAAGACTAAATGAATGGTGATTTAACATTCTGCATGGATATAATTAAACTATACAGATAAGTAAATATGGAGCCTGTATGAAAATAATTTCCCTAAGCCAATATTTTGTTAGTTATGGTATGATAATATTTTTTTAAGTTAATATATCTGGTAAATGTATGGAGTACTCTAATTTACTTCTAAAGATAGAATTGTATGTTTTAAATTTCTATATGTGGATACCAGGGATTGATTTATGTATTTGTGTTTATTCATTATTCAACAAAGATTTTTCCCAGTTTTCCTCTATAAACATTTGAGGTGCTGCCTGGCATTAGTTTTTAGTTCAACAAACCTCACCAACTTAACATTTCCTGGGTAGACCACCCTCTTCTATGAAACACATATCTCCTAACCTTAATCATGTGTTTTTATCAGGATTTGTCATATTGCTAAACACTCTACCACTCTTGATATATTTAATTGACCTGTGAAGAGCATAAGGCCCCAATTTTTACAGGACCCCCCCCATTCTGCTTGCAGCTGATTTGTGAAAGGGTAGGCAGTTAACTAACAATGATCCAAAGAGTTTACATCTCCCAAAATGTTGGTACTGGAACTAGGAAAGAACTTTAGTCTCTCTCTGGTGGGAAAGCTATGAAATACTGGAAGGGGTTTCTGACGATAGTCATGTTTCCAAAATTCATGTTGAAGTACCTAATCTCAGGGCACAAATTCAGTATCAGAAAGAAGCCATAATTCTCAGAATCTTTTTAAATATCATAATGTTCCTAGGCAGTTACATATAAAATAGGACACTGTTCTGTTAAAAAAAAAAGAGAGAGAGAAAAGAAATTAGAACATATCTCCTATTTCCCATCACTGAGGTAGAAAGGTTAGGTTGTCAAGTTCCTGGTTGCTAAGGTCTCTAAGTTGCAGCTTAACTTTCCACAACTCTATAAGCTTCCCAAAGGACTCTCAGCTAGTTAAAACTTAAAACTGGGGTGATAGACTTGAAAACAAAAGAAGTCTTAGTTCACAGAAATAAATAAGCAAATCACAGAATTATTATGGTGGTAGTGTTACAAAGAAGGTTGTTTTTACAAAGACAGTTGCAAAAAACTGTATAAGTTGGTCATAAAAGATTCATGTCCCAGGAAACATTTAGGTCACATCTTAAAAGAAGGAGCATATTCCTGGAAGATGATCATGTTCAGGGAAAGAGCTGATATTTGTCGATACATTCTAGGAATTGCAAGTACAAGTAACTCTTCCCCATTCACTATGCCCCATTAGACAAATTAGAATATATTGAGATTAATATTTCAACATTTATACACTTTCCATATAGTTGAGAATTTGTGAATTGCAAAATGTATTCAAAATGTTTCCTAATAACTAGAAAATAGCTGATGGATAAGATTTATTTATAAATCAAAAGAGGTTTAAGATATTTTTTAGAATTTCTAAGGACTGAATAAATAGCCAGGTTCCTAAAAAATGCTATAAATTCTAGGAGAATAAATATGGTGAGGCTCTTTAAGAAAATATATACTGAATATATATACCAAAATTAAAAAAAATAGGAATAGAAGAATGGTACCACGACACAATAAAGGCTATAACAATTAGCTCAGAGCTTAACATCATAGTCAATGATGAAAAATTGAAAACCTTCCTTCTCAGATCTGGATAAAAGCAAGAATGTCCAATATTTCCACTTCTATCCAACACAGTACTTGAAGTTTTAGCCAGAGAAATTAGAAAGAAAAAAAAATAATAAGAGGAATCCAATTAGAGAGGAAGAAGTAAAATTATTTCTGTTAGCAGATGACAATATCTTATAGGTAGAAATCTTAAAGACTAAAAAAAAAAAATTAGAATAAACAAAGTCAGTAAAGTTGCAGGATACAAAATCAAAACACAAAAATCAGCTGTGTCTCTGTACACTAACAACAAACTATCCAAAGAGGAAATTCAGAAAACAGTCCAATTTGCAATAACATTAAGAATAACACACTTAAAAAGAAATTTAACCAATGAGATGAAATGACTGTGTACTAGAAAATATAAAACACTGATGAAAGAAATGAAAGGAGATATGAATAATGGAAAGACATCCTGTGTTTAAGGATTGGAAGACTTAATATTGTTAAAATGTCTATACCACTTAAAACAATCTACAGGTCAATGCTATGGCATTCTAATCACAATTCCAATGGTGTTTTTTCACAGAAATAGAAAAAGAAACTCAGAATATGGAACTACAAAAGACAGAGAATTAATGAAGCAATTGAGAAATAAACAAAACCAGAAGCTTCAAATGTCCTGATTTCAAAATATATTACAAGCCTACAGTATTTAAAACAGTAAGACATAGCATAAAGATACACATAAAACCCAGTGAAACAGAATAGAGAGCCCAGAAGTAAACCCAAGCATGTAAGGCCAGTTGACTTTTGATAAGAGTGCCAAGACTAGGGGAAGGAAAGATGGTGGAGGAATAGGGGACCCTATTTCAACTGGTCCCCAGAATTGAGCTGGATATCTACCAGACCACTCTGAGCAGCCATGAAACCAGCCTGAGATGTAAGAAGATCTTTATCTCTACAAACAGAATATTGCAGGTGGTGCGTTTCAAGGTACAAGTGGGGAGCCGTGATTCCACGGGCAGATACTGGAGGATAAACGGCACTGGGAGGGAGCCTGGACGTGGGGAGCCTACAGCGCCGGTAAGCGACACCCTCACTCGTTGGGGACAGGGCACAGACTCGACTGGTAGCGGCAGGGAAAGGACTTTAGGGCAGCTCCTGGGGCAGAAACCCCTAGTGGTGGGATCACGTGCCTGCGAACTGGGGGTGGTTGGCAGTTTTAGAAGCACAAAGGGCAGAGATGTGCTCCAACCTGGAGGTAGGCCTGGGGGCGCTGCAGAGGGGCACACAACCCAGGCCACTGCGGTTTATAGTAGCACGGACAAAAATGGAGACAGTGTGGCCTGGAGAGCTCACCGAAGAACAGACCGCGGTCTCTGTGCTCTAAGACAGAAGGTTGGAAACGGTCTCTTCTGCTCTGACTCGTGGAAGAGACACGGAAAGCCGCCAGGGAAAGCCGCCAGAGAACAAAAGCCCCCAAAACTGATTCCTACTGAGCCCATCCCCCGCCAGAGGGGGGCAGGGCAACTCCGCCCAAACAGGGTTGTCTGAGTAACAGCGCAGCAGGCCCTTCCCCCAGAAGACAGGCTGGTAAAACAAGAGGCCAGCAACCCTAAGGTCCCTAAAAAACAGGTGCATCTTGCTTGGGTTCTGGTCAATAATTTGCATTCTATACATTCCCTCAAACACCCATCAACAGAATGACTAGGAGGAGGACCCCCCCCAAAATAGAAAAGCCTCAGAGATTATGACTTATGCTGCAGATTTACAAATGGATGCAGATATAACCAAGATGTTGGAGATGGAATTCAGGCTAGCAATTGTGAAGACAATGGCTACAATAGAGAAATCAATTAATGGCAACATTAATTTTCTCTAAGGGCAGAAATGAAAGCTGAATTGGCAGAACTTAAAAATGCTATCAATGAGATCCAATCCAATCTAGATAATCTAACAGCTAGGGTAACTGAGGCAGAAGAATGAATAAGCGACCTGGAAGACAATATCATAGATAAAAAGGGAAAAGAGGAGGCCAGGGAAAAACAACTCAGAATCCATGAAAATAGAATCAGAGAAATAAGTGACACCATGAAGCATTCCAATGTCAGAATAATTGGAATCCCGGAGGGAGTGGAGAGAGAGAGAGGACTAGAAGATGTATTTGAGCAAATTGTAGCTGAGAACTTCCCTAATCTGGGGAATGAAACAAACATTCACGTCCTAGAGGCAGAAGGGACCCC